AGGACAATTTAAAATCAAATACATTTAAGATAAGATGCACATGCAAAGATAAACTCAAATGTGCATAATGATCATAAAACACTAATAATATATCCTTTTAAGCATCCTTACCTGTATTTAGTTGTCTGTAGTGCGTATTTAGTGGTGAGTCTCTGGATTTTGACAAGTGGTGTTGTTAATTCATGAGATCTTGACGTCTTTCTCACATGGGGACACAAAGTTCCTGTGATTCTGCTGCTGTCTCAGGCTATCTCGTCCCTCTGAGCGCTGTCCATCACAGCTGATGCTCCTGTTGCATGCGAGAGGATGGAGGAAAGACTTCCCTGCCTGTCTCTGAGAAGGATGGATGGAAGGGTGGAGGATGAGAAAGATGGAGGACGAGATGTCAGATGCGTCATTAAGCACCGTTCTGTTCTTCTTCTTTTCCACGATGGGCTCTTTTGGTCCAGTGTTGGTCTTGGTCACTCACTCACTCATTCATTCATTCACCCACCCAGTCAGTTGTGTAAGAGGATTCTTGGATCTCTGCGTCTGCTTTACACACTCTGTCCGTCCTCTTCTTACTGGGAATTCTCAATCGTATGCTATTTCTCTGCAATATCTTTCAATGAGACCATTTCTCTTTCCCTGTCTTCCCCTCTCTCTCTCTCTCTGTCTATGAGAGCAAACACTCATACACACCCACACACACACTCTCTGACTCACAAATGCATGTTCTGCCTCAGTTTCTGTGAGTATCTCGACTCTTCCTCCTTTCAGACTCTCTTTCTCTCTCTCTCTACCTCTCTCTGCTGCAGTGCCTCTGCAGGCTGGATCACGTTTTCAGTAGGAAAAAAAAATCTAGCCAATCAGAGCCCCCAACTCATCCCCCCTCCCATTGCAAGCTCTCTTTCTCCCAGTCTCCATCCATCTCTTTGTTTTACTCTGACACGCTGCCTCAAACAGCGTACAGATGCAAGCACACACACGTGTGTTTTGTGTGGTTTGTCATTGTATTCATTCTGGATCATTCTCACGCACTGAGCCCACGGCCCACAGAGACATTATAAACAACCAGGTGAAAGATGCAGTACAAACACATACAATAGAAATTATGATGCTGAAAGGATGACAATTAGCTTGTGATGTTTTATTAAAAATGGTGTGCAAAACAGGTGTAAGATGTTCAAGGATAGTAGGTCTACGGTAGTGCATTATTTATCTGTGTGGAGCGAAGAAGACAGCATGGAGGATGCTGGGATGTGGGGATTGTGTTATATAACAGACTGAGACTTTCATCAGTTTTAGCGTTACACATGTCCTTGTGCTGTCCTACACATAATTCACAGCGCTGAGAGGGAAATTGTGTATTTATGTGCAAACGCATACAAAGTCAACAAGAATTTGTATTCTATGGGACATGTAAACATGCCACATGTATGTCGTAAGCGGTTGATAATGTGTGCCCTAGCAAGTTAGTTGTAAGGGTGTTCTGGATCAAAATGTCAAGATCAAAAAGTCTCTATGACATTCTGGCCACTAGATATGACTTGGGTCATTCAGTGTAAGTCTATGGTTTTTTTCCCGCCTTTTTAGCACAAACAAGGAGAAACTTGTGAATACTGACCTTGAAAAAGCCACACATTTTGAGGTTTCATTCATATCTGATGAATTCTACACTGAAGTGTGTAGTTTAAGGACACGTGTATGGGTTCATAGAATAAAAACATCCTCTCATACAAGCTGTTTCTGGCAGTTGTGTGTGTAGCAGCTCAAGCTAACATTGCTCCCCCTGCAGTACGTCACATAGTCGTGCAGTCCAGTGTTTCTGCAGGCCATTCAAAAAACACATACACACACATCATTCACAATGCATTTCATATGCAGGAAGTGTGAAGGAGGAATATTGTGTGACGAGATTTTTTGGCTACTTTATTTAGAGTACAACTAGCATCATTAACAGGATGCAGCTAGCTTTATCACAAATGCTTTTCATTTGTCAGCTTGAGGGAAAATTGATTTAACCACTATTAACCCGATTACTTGAAAAGGCCACTAACGCCCTCAGAGTTGTTGTCTACATTATGTTGCACGATATTACCTTTCTTATTTGATTTTAAGAAACTAGATAATTCAAAAGAAAAGAAGGTACAAAAAGCTGTTGCTGAGGTGGTAACCTTTCAAAATGTATTAATATGTACTTTTAAAGTACTAATATTTACTTTTAAGGTTACTAATAGGGGTAAATAAGGTACAAAGATATCTTATTTGATGTGTAAAATAAAATTTCACATTTACTGTATATATCAAGATATTTATATATTAAGATATTTTTATATTAAGACCTATAAGATTAGATATATTATTTATATATATCTCTAATTATTTATGTATTCACATGCATATACAGTTGCAAGAAAAAGTAAGTGAACTATTTTTAATTTTCAGGTTTCTGCATAAATTGGTCGTGAAATATGATGTGATTTTCACCAGTCACAAATATCAATAAACACAATATTTCTAAGCTGGTAAAACAAACAGTCATGATCTTTCATGTCGTTTTGAGCACACTCATTAAACTTTATTATTATCATTTTAACTTTATTAAAGTGAAAGTGGAAAAAGTAAGTGAAACACTAGGCTTCTGGTATCACTAAGGCCCAATACCAATTCTCTTTTATACCCCTACGCCTGGCCTACCCCTTCCCCTTGTCCCTTGAAACAGAGTGTCAAGGGGTAGGGGTGAAAATATTGCCCTAAGAAATGGGACACCAACACTATACCGTTACACGTCATCATACATCATCTAACTCCTACAAACTTTAGCAATTTTTTTGCAAACATTTCCATATATATATGGAATAACATGACCGTAAATATGAACACACGATTAAATGTAACATAAAACAAATGATTACTTTTCTCGGGCAGTCATGTTGCCGCTGTAGCTGGTTTATGCTGAGATAATTCTCATACCCCTTAGTTTGAAGCGTGGTCCCAAAAAATCTTCGTTTTTTAAGGGCTATCTGGCCCTTCCCCCAACGCCTACACCTACACGTCCAACCAAAAGAGAATCGAGACACCCTTATCCCTTCACATGAACGCGTGAAACGGAGTGGTAGGGGTAAGTGTAGGGGTAAGGTGTAGAAATGAGATTGGGCCTAAATGCCAACTGGAGTCAGATGTTAGCAAATCAGGAGTCCAATCAATGAAATGAGAATAAAGGTGTGGTTTAGAGCTAAATTGACTCATATAAACACCCAAACAATCAGTGTGCTATTCACAAGCAGCATTAGCTGATGTGAACCATGCCTCGCAAAAAAGAGATCTCAGAAGACCAACGATCAAGAGTTGTTGATATGCATGTTGCTGGAAAGGGTTACAGAGTAATCTCAAAAACTACTGTCCACTGTCCATCAGTCTACAATAAAGCAAATTGTTTAACTATGATGGTACTGTGGCTACTTTCCACAGAAGTGGGCGCCTAGCCAAGATCTCTCCAAAGGCAAAACGCAGAATGCTTAATGAGGTGAAAGAGAACCCTAGAGTAACAGCTAAGTCTCTGTTCATGAGTCAACCATACATAAAACATTGAACAGGTATGGTATCCATGGTAGGACACCACAAAGGAAGCCACTGCTCTCCAAACAAAACATTGCAGCATGCCTAAAGTTTGCCAAAGACCACCTTGATACTCCACAACACTACTGGGAAAATGGGAAAATAAAACAGAGTACCAACATGAAAACATCATCCCAACAGTGAAGTATGGTGGAGGGAGCATCATGATTTGGAGCTGCTTTGCTGCCTCTGGACCTGGACCGTTTGCCATTGTGGAGGGGAAAATTAATTCCCAAGTTTATTAGGATATCCTACTACAGGATAATCCCAAGGTGGCTGTCCGAAAGCTAAAGCTCAGAAGAAGCTGGGTGATGCAGCAGGATACACATTGATGTAAAACTATACAGAATGGCTTCAGAGACAAAAAATCCACCTTTTGGAGTGGCCCAGTCAAGCGCAGACCTCAACCCAATAGAGATGCTGTGGAATGACCTCAAGAGAGACATTCACACCAGACGTCTTAAGAATATGGGTGAGCTGAAGTAGTTCTGTAAAGTAGAATGGTCCAAAATTACTCCTGGACGTTGTGCAGGTTTAATACACAGCTACGGAAAGTGCTTGCTTGAGGTTATTGCTGCCAAATGTGGTTCAACCTGTTATTAAAGCACTGTTCTCTTACTTTTTCCACTATCACTTTGAATGTTTAATAGGTGTGATCAATAAAGACATGGAAGATCATTTGTGTTTTATCAGCTTAGAAATAGTTTTGATATTTGAGACATTGGAGAAGCTCAGATCACATTTCATGACCAATTTAAGCAGAAAACCAGGAAATTGAAAATAGTTTATTTACTTTTTCTTGCAACTGTACTTAATATATTCATAGTACATAATATATTTGTGAACAGATTCCATTCTACAATTTTAAATATCTAAAATATGAAAATCATTTACCAAATGAATGTTTCCTTTATCATCTTCTGGAAAATTAATCATTGAATCACACTAATAGATCACTCATTGTATCTTGAGCTGCTGAAGGAAACCAATGGTCTTGGACATTGATTTCAGATATATCAATAGAATCTTCACGCTAAATTAAATATTAACTTTCCTCCTGCGCTCTTATCTTTGAAAGGGTTTGCACACATGATGTTAATATTAGATTATGTTTATCATTATTTTCAGTGTAAGTTATGTTAAATTTGAACATGCTTCTGACCTTCTTCAAGCGTGCATCTTAACAAACACAAATACTAAAATTCATTCATTTTTATTACAATATAGACAGAAAACTTTAAATGAATATATTACAGAGTACAAGATATATATACCATGGCAAAAATATGTATGTTATTAAATAAAATATCTTTGCTTGTCCTAGACAAAAATATATATTTTTACTTACAAGATAATCAAAACTTACCAAACAGTAAGACCAAAATATAATAGGGGGGAAAAAAATGGTAGATGAGAGGCATGTTAAAAATAGCACAGAAAAAGGCTTTGCATTGATTTGATCATAATGCATCAGAAGACTTTACAGGGAACAAACAACAAAGCTGACTCCAACTTCATATTATTAGTTGAAACTATTACTCTGTAATTTGTTAAAGGTATAAAAGGAAGAACGTGCGGTAAACATTGTCAAATGTACAGTAAAAACAGTACAGTCAGGCATGTGTTAAATTAGATACTGTAGCAGCTAAGAAAGATTTGACATGACTACAAGGAAGAAAAACAAGGAAATGATTACGAGTTTTAGTCTTGGGTTTAAAATGAAAGTCAAAAATATATTTTTTTTCTACTTCCTGCCATCAAATCAAAAACAGTAGGCAGTAGTAAGGACGTTTTTGTGGAGGATATTATAAGGAAGTATGGAGTGTTTCAAGAGGAAGTTTTGTAACTACTTACAATCAGAATAATTATGTTTAGCTTGTTGTTACTGATAAGGTACCATTTCTGTCCACAGAATACAGCTCTAATATCCTTAACAGAGTTAGTTGATACTGATGATACTGATGATTTTTAGCCAAAGAAACCATGGAAGAAGACACAGATGGTGAGGAGGATAATAGCGTTAGCGTTGACCAAGTTTCTCCATAGAGGTTTCTCAGTGGTGTCCGTGAGCTTCATATTCAACTCTGCCTCCTGTTCTTTAATCAGTTTAGGTGCATCGCCTTGATCAAAACCGCAGAACCAGTTGTAGGCCTTCTTCCAACAGCTTGGATCCTTGCGCACCTCTGCGGGGTCGAGAGACAAACGGAAACAGTTGTTGATTGTTTTTAAAAGTATGTATGTTTTTAAAATACATTATGTGAGCATGATTTCCACAAGTAAGGCATGTGCCTGAATCAACATCCTTTGTTTTTCCTAGAACAACAATCTAATCAACTAATTATGGCCCTAACCTAGTCTCAGCATCAGACGGCACACTCACAGTCCATTCACTGAGCTATGTGATGCATATCGCACACAAAAATAGTGAATACTATCTTATGGTACATATTTGGTGGATCATGCAGATGTACCTTCTGTTTGCACAGAATCTGAACCCTGATCGTCAGTCCAGTCATCTTCTTCCAGATCAATCCTCTCCTCAGTGCTGTTCCGCAAACTCCAGCAGAGCCTGTACAGCTGTGAAACAACAAGGGGCCACAGAATGAGGGGCCATGACGTCTAAATCTCTGTTTTTCAATAATGTTATGCATGATGAATCTATATATAGGCCCTACGACCATTCAAAAGTTTGGGGTTGTTAAATATGGCTGTAGTGCATACATTTTCATGTTTTCTATTTTAATATGTGTTATGACAAAGCTTCAGCATCATTACTCCAGTCTTCAGTGTCACGTGATCCTTCAAAAATCATTCTAATATGCTAATTTATTGATCAAGAAACATTTATTACTATGAATGTTGAAGACAGTTTTTGTTGCTTAATATATATATATATTTTTGTGGAAACCATGATACACTGCCATTCAAAGGCTTTTCCTAAAGAAATTTATGTTTATTTAGCAAGGACGCATTCATTTGTTTAAAAGTGACAGTAAAGACAATTATAATGTTACAGAAGATTTCTATTTCAAATCAATATTGTTCATTGAACTTTCTATTCAGCAAAAAATAAATAAATGGTTGAAAAAAAAAATCATGGTTTCCACAAAAATGTTAAGTAGCAAAAACAGTTTTCAACATTATTTTAAATTGTAATAATTTTTCACTATTTTACTATTTTTACTGTATTTTAGATCAAATGCAGTCTTGAACGTAAGAGACATTGAACGTAAAAACATAAAAAAATCATAAGTATTCTGAACTTCATAGTTTAGTTGTTAGAAGAGCTTACATGTTTGTCGTCAATGGGTTTAGTCATGAGGGAGATGCTCAGTATCAGTATACAGGACAGGCCGAAGAGGATGAGGGCGAAATAGAGGTAGTGCACACCACATATGATCGTAGGACAGTTACTGGGACTCACGCAGCTGCCCGTGCCATAGGCAAACTCAGTTATCATACGCACCAGACCCACCAACAGACCAATACACAACCCGTAGAAAGCACCCTGTGAGGAAACATCAACGACGTGTCAAAAGATAGAAAACTAGATGAGTAATTCTGATGACAAACTTGATGTTGGATTGACAAAGCCAGGCTTGGACGTTTGAAATAACTTTGAAAGCTTGAAGTTTGACGATTTTACATTGCTAATATTTTTCTAGTATTTTAGCACATTGCTAAGATTAATTATCATTTTGCTGACATGTTTATAGCATGATTTAGCACACTGTTAGCCTGTTTTAACAAATTGCTAGCATGTTTTAGCACATTCCCTTAAGAAAATGAACCATGGTTTTATTTAAAAAAAACAAAAAAAAAACACTGTTACTGTAGTTAAAGGAGTGGTTGTTTGTGATTTCACTTTTTTTTACTTTAGTTAGTGTGTAATGTTGCTGTTTGAGCATAAACAATATCTGTAAAGTTACGGTGCTGAAAGTTCAATGAAAATGGAGATATTGTCTTTTAAAGAAAATTCTGTTTAATGCCTACAGTTACAACTGGTAGGGACTACAACGAGCTACTTCCCGGGTTGGTGACATCACAAACCCTGCGATTAACATAAACCCTGCCCCCGGGAACAAGCAACAAAGGGGACGATGCTATGTTGTGCAGCTTTTCCAACGGAGCACATGCAACTATTGCCCGTAATGGTAAGGGGCGTGACATTTCCGGACAACATGCAATACGTGGTTAATGAATCACAATACACTGGGCCAGCTAACCAATCTGACCCCATTGCGTATTTAGGAGGGAGTGGTATCATAGAAACAGGAAGTCAACCGGCCGTTCAAATGACAATGGAGACAGCGGCGTAGAATAAAGGTAAAATATATGACAAATAAGGCGTTTTTTTAAAAACAAAGCATGAAGACGTTACACTGCACCCCATAAACACAATTAAGCCAGTGGCGTGTCCACAAGGGTGGCACGGGGTGGCTTAAAATGAGCTTTGCCACCGCAGTTGCCACCCCAAAGCAGCGTATGGGATCGAAGTGCATTGAGAGTGGAGCAGCGTGATTTTAACTGAAGCGGGGATCTTTTGAAAGTCGGATCTGGTTTTCGCTCGCTCTCAGAGTGCTCCACTACCGCTCAATCACTAGCACAATTAATGCCATAACTATAGCCGTTCTAAACTAGTTCTGCCTACAAGGATTGTACTGCACGCACACATGTACAGACACATAACGGATCACTCACACACAACGCTGCCCTGTGATTTGTCAAAAAAAAAAAATGCTTAGAAACAGAAAAGTTATAGCGAAAAATTCTTTGTGTTTTGAAGTAATCAAAATCCACAGCTTCACTATTAGTAGAGAGACAGACACAGTCTCAGTCTGTTGCACAGACAGGCAGGACTAATTTACACGTAATCGCGCTCTCACAAATGCATTCAAATAAATGTAATTTTACGGTGCTTCTATGTATCTGATTTAATAACCGATAAAATAATGGACGAAAATGTAGCCTACTATTATTTCATCCTTCCAAACAAATTTCGCACTTCAAAAAGCTGCAATGACAGATTTAACTTTTAATTCTGATAACCTTAATGTGTGTGAAATGTGTGAAAATAACACATTCATTTTTTTTTTGGTTATTATCATCATAATTATTATTATAATTTTTAGCCTACTATTCATTC